GCATGCATGCAACGCATGCATGCATGCATGCATGCATGCATGCAGCAGCAAATAAATTATAGGGTAATGGGGCCCTCCCCTGCCGGCTTAAGGGGCCCCTTGAATGCCTCTAGGCTATTCTTATCAGCAGCAGAGGGAGAGGAAGGGGGCGCAGCAGCAGCAGCAGCAGCATCTGCTGCTGCAGCAGCAGACTGTCCTTCAGACTCCGACTCCTCTGATACTACATGCCCTGCAACAACAAACAAACAGCAGCAGCAGCAGCAATTGCAGCAACAGCAGCAGCAGCAATTGTAGCAGCAGCAGCAAAAACAGCAGCAGCACCAGAAACTACAGCAGCAGCAGCAGCAGCAGCAGCAGCAGAGTATTACCTTCTGGTGTGACCTCAAAGCGTCTGTATTTTCTTTCTTTTTCTTCTCCTTTCTCAAACCTGAACACAAACCCCAAACCCTAAACCCTAAACCCTAAACCCTAAACCCTAAACCCTAAACCCTAGGAGACCCTAAAACCCTAATTACATCAAAATAGACAAGAAGAACGAGAGATAAAAAAGAAAGAGAAAGACGACATAAAAAGAGACAAAAGAGACAATAAGGAGACAAGAAAGAAGAGAACAAGAATAGAGAGAATAAAAGAGAGAAAAAGGAGACAAAAAAAGGAGACACCTAGATAGAAAATCTTAAATATATGATAAAAACATGAAAAAACGACGAAAAAAAAGCGCAAAAAAAAAAAGAAGAAGAATAAATAAATAAATAAATAAAATAAATAAAATAAATAAAATAAATAATTACCTAGTAAGTAATACAGAAATATTATCGCCAGAGAATGCTTGATATGCTTGCTCTAATAATTTAACTGCTGCCTCTGTTAAATCATTTTTTAATTCATATAAAAGTGTCATCATAAAATGTGACACAAATACCCAATTCATTGATTCAGGTTCGTATACACCTGCAGCAGCAGCAGCAGCAACAGCAGCAGCAGCAGCAGCAGCAACAGCAGCAGCAGGAGGAGCAGCAGGAGACAGACTTACTCCATCACCAAAAGCTCTAGATAATGCTAATATACCATCAACCCTAGGTACAGATGCAGGAGAAGAAGAGACAAACCCTCCTGCTTTTTTTATTCTCTCTAATTCCTCAGGGTTTGTTGGTTTATGATCACGAGATAAGATAGAGAATCCTCCACCAGCATGAAATAATGTACCACGAGAATCTCCTGTAAAAAAAAATACACTAAACCCTAAACCCTAAACCCTAAACCCTAAACCCTAAACCCTAAACCCTAGAAATCCTTCAAACCCTAGAAACCCTAGAATGAGTTGAAACCCTAAACCCTAGAAAGAGGAAGCATCTATCTAACACTGTTAACACTAAAACACCACCACCATGAAATAATGAACCACAAGAATCATCTATATATATAATATATAAACCCTAAACCCTAAACCCTAAACCCTAAACCCTAAACCCTAGAAATCTTGAAAAATGAATAAAACCACCATGTAAACCCCTGCCATAATATTTCCCTAATAAACCCTAATAAACCCTAATAAGGAGTAATAAACCCTAATAATATATCTTACCAACATTAGCAATAGTAATAAGAAATGCAGGTTGTTGTTGTCCTCCAATAGTAATAGATTGTATAGGTGTATAAAAAGCCCCAATCTTATCTTGTGTATCCAAGGAAGAAAGAAGGGGTTTAGAGGAAAAAGAAGATAAGACCTCACGACCAGACACAAGTAACTCACGGGGACTATCTAGCTCCTCTATTAATGCTACTATACCTGTATATACATAAATAAATAAATATATATATATATAAATATATTATTTATTTATTTATCTATTTATTTATCTATTTATTTATTTATATACATTTATTTAGGCATCCAATGGTCCATAAAAGGGATCCATGCATGCAGAGATCCATGCATGCATGCAGACAACAAAGGACAGAGGAGAGAGGAGACAGATAGTAAGGAGACAAAAGGAGACAAAAGGAGACAATAAAAGGAGACAATAAAAGGAGAAAAAAGGAGACAAAAAAAAAGGCAAAGAAAAAAAAAAGGAGACAAAAAAAAAAGGAGACAAAAAAAAAAAGGAGACAGAATTAGAAAAAAAAAAAAAAAAAAAAA